ATATTGTGCATGTTTGACTACTTACGCTTTCCCCTCGAAAAATTCCGCCTGTAGGGGGACGTGCCCGAGCTGACACCAAACAAAGGCTCGCTCAACATTAAAAAAAAGATCCCGAGGGAAACGGGTTCTGGACCCCGGGGCCTCCCACCAGGATTAAGTCGCGCCTGTCCCCCTACAGGGGGATTTTCGACGAAAAATAAAAAATACCCCCCCAAAAAAAAACCCAAAAGGTCAAAAAATACGATTTTTGGATTCACTTCGCTCGGGAGCTCGGGAGCGAAGTGAACCCCACCCTCCCCCTCAGAAATCGTGGGGGGTAGGGGTAGGGTTCGCATGTGGCCCCCTAACAGAGACATCAGGCAACGTTGCCATCGAGTCGAGGGGAAGCCCCTTCCCTTTCACTCCCTTCCCCGCCGCGGAAGGGGGGGGTGTCCTGGGGGTTGGTCCCGGGTGGTGGTCCCGGGTCAAAATACGACCCTCCTGGGGCCAATGGCCCGCCCTCTCCCTCCCATTTCCGTCGAGGGCCGAGGCCTCCAGGGTCGGCGGCACTGGCCGTGAGGCCGCCGCAGTCAGGACCCGACTCCCTCAGGCGCGCGCGCGGCTGACGGGAGCGAGTGGTCCGCATGGTATCATTTGGCAGGGCTCGTGCCACCCCAGCACGCGCGCAAGGGCGTTCGAATGACTTCGACGTGCGCGCGCGCGACGAAGGCCCGCTTGGCCGCCTTTGCTGACAAAATTAAGCTAAACTCATGGTGATCCTAAGCATTCACCAGAGCGCGAGCACAGACCTTTTTGTTTGGAAAGTCATGTAGCAAAACTGTGTGTGTTTGTATGTGTTTACGCGACACTCGATTTTGAATGCCGTACGAAACCTGAAGATGTTTTAGAAGTCTGGCATGCGCGCGGCGCACTTGTGCTCTCTGTCCGAGCTTGAAAACTGGAATGTTGAGGATCTTTGATAAACCAGTGTGCGTACAGTGCTTTGTGCAGAGGATGCTGGATGGTATGGGATGGTACGAACTCGTATTTAGAATGAACGACAGGGCAGAATCATTTTCAAATTGCACATCCCCAGGGGGGGCGCAAGTGTCGACCTCAGGGGGGCGGTAGATCCTGATAATCTTTGAGAAAGGAGGTTATGTGTGGTGCAATATGTATATAGATGGTTCGCAATCTATGTGGTGCAATCGACGAGGTGCTGTCTGTGTGATTCAGTCTATGATGTCCAATATATGGGGTGCAATCGATGTGATGCAATCGACGTGGTGCAATATATGTGGTGCGCTCTATGTTGTACAATACATGTGGTGCACTCTATGTTGTGAAATTCATGTGGTGCGCTCGCTATATGTTGTGCATATTGTGCAATATATGTGATGCGATTCATGCGGAATACACGCGGTGCAATCCATGTGGTGCAACTTATGATGCAAATTATGTGGTGCAATCTACGCGGTGCAATCTATGCGAGGTGGCGACGGGGAGGCGACGAGGCGGCGATGGCGATTACATAGCCACCAGACCAGCACGCAGGCACAGACGACGGGCGGCGACGAGACGGGGACGTGGCGGCGACGGTGACTACATAGCCACCACACCGGCACGCAGGCCCAGACGACCGGCGGCGACGGGGCGGCGACGGCGGCTGCATAGCCGCCAGACCGGGCAAGCAGGCCCAGCTCTTGGAAAAAGATTCAGAACCCCCGAGGGCACACTGCTTGAGGAAAAAAGTAAAACCAGGCCGCGGTCAACCCCCATCCCCAGCACCGCCCCCCGCATCCGACCCCCCCCCCGCACCCGTGCGGACGCCCTCGGGCCGACCACCCACCCGCACGTGCCAATCCTGGAGGCATTCGATCCCGACCGAGCCAGCACGCTAATGCCCCCCGACACAGAGAGACACACCACGCCATGCAGCGCATGATTGCGAACACGCTGCTGTACGATTCGCTGCAGGCGTGCATGCATGCATGCTTGTTGTGCCATCCGCAGCCGCCGAGGCTCGAACCTAGAAGTCGTGCGATTCTCTCTAAACCAGGCAGAAGAGAAAACTCCGCAATCACAGCTTGAGATTTCTCTGGCTTCATCGTGACCCCCCCGCCACCCCGGCGGCCACGCCACGGCCAACCATCCCTGGCATTCCAAAGGGAAGGCGATGTACTGAAAGCGTCGACTTCGATCGCCAAGATTGGCGGCGCGCCCGGGGGGATAGCGAGAGGGGCGGGGCCTCCTCGGACGGCGGCGGGGCTTCTCAGCAGCCCTCCGGCCTTCGGAGAAGCCCTCTTTCCTCAGAGGTGGTCCAGAAACCCGCTCACACGAGGCTTCGAGGCCCTCCGAGCCCTCTGAGAAGGCCCGCCCCCTCTCGGACGCCTGGTGGGCTTCAAGCCATGACTCAGCTCTCTGGTGGCCGTTCGGGGCGATCCGGGCACCCCCAGAGCGCTTTCGGCGGGGCGCAGCCGATGGAACGCATCCCGAGGCTGGAAATCCGCCAAGAGCAGACGACGATGTGGGAAAACATGGAACCGTGAACTTAGGGAAACGAAGAGGTATCGATACCGCCACTCCCTGGCCTCTCCTGGAGTGCGTTCTGACCAGGATTTCGAAGCGAATCTAGCGGTGGCAACGCGGACCTCCCAAGAAACCCAAACAAAAGAAAACGGGCGAAAGGTCTGAGAGCCGCGAACTGGCCACCGAACCGCGAACTCCCCCCCTCCTCATCCTCTTCCGAAGTCTCAGAAATGGCGTTGCGGCACTGTTCGGGATCGTCAAGACGCAACAGTCAGGCTCATCCGTGGCATTGGACTCCCGAGAACAATGTTTTGGCATGATTCAGCATCTTCAAACGGTTGTCTTCCAACGAGGCAGTTCCCGCAGTGGTACTGAGCCGTTGTAGGGGCCTACTATGAAGAGGGAGCTTGAAGGGATGGGGTTATCACAACATCGTTGTTGACTCTTTACACTGGTCCTCCTCCTCCACTTGTTCCTCCTCCTCCTCCTCCTCCTCCTCTTCCTCCTCCTTAATGGACCCTGGAAACGACAGGGCCGTTTTTTCACCAGTCGTCGTTTTTTTGCCGTTCCCACATTCAAGAGACATGTTTTCGGAAATGGTGAAAAAACGCCAGCCGTTTTCAGGGCCCACTAAGTCCTCATCCTCCTCATCCTCCTCATCATCAGCATCATCATCAGCATAATCAGAATCATCAGCATCATCATCATCATCATCATCATCATCATCAGCATCATCATCATCATCATCATCATCATCACCACCACCACCACCACCACCACCACCATCATCATCATCATCATCATCATCAACATCATCATCATCATCATCAGCATCATCATCACCATCATCATCGTCATCGTCACCATCATCATCATCATCATCATCATCACCATCATCACCATGATCATCATCATAATCCTTCTCCTCCTCCTGCTCCTCCTCCTCCTCCTCCTCCTCCTCTTCCTCCTCATTAGACGTCTCGATTAAGGGCGAATGGTTTCGGCCATCGGTGCATTGACTTCAACGACGTCCAGGGACTAGCCACCCGTGTGAGGCTGCGAAAGCCACCAGTATTCTCAGGAGGCCAACTGCATTGGAAGAGATCGCCTTGCTGCCCCCTCTGCTCCCCGCTCCCTCCCAGGAGGATGTTCTCGGGCTTCAGGTCGCGGTAGATGATGTTCAGCCTGCGCGTGAGACGCCCCCCCCTGCCCGTCGACGACAACGGCGGCAGAGGCGGCGACCACGACAAGGGCGAGGACGAGCACAAACACCACGACGACCACCACGACAATGGCGACGACGACGACGACGACGACGACGACGACAACACCGACCCGACAACCACGACGACCACGACGACGACGACGAATACCGACGACAGGCACGAACGACACGCACCACAAGATACTGCACACCAGCACGAAGGGAACGAAAAGCAACGATACACCAGTGAAGAAATATCGTGAGGAGACTTGGCTTTCCGACACCGCAGAAATTTCCGAA